GCAGTTCTGTGTGCCTTCTTAACCACCCGGTCCTTCCCTGTTCCCACAAAAGAGGCTGCATCTTTGTATGTTATAGTCACATAAACTTTGTAACATTTTGAAAAAACAAAAGAAAACAAAAACAATGACCAAGAGAATGCCATAGTCAATGTCCAGAGTCTGACTCAGAAGAATGGAGAGAAGGGAGAATTCCGTAAGTTGGCCAATGCCAAGATATTTCCGAGTGACTGCCTGGCATGTGCCAGTTGTGTGACCGCAGAGGAAGGAGTTTAAGTTCTCAGCAGTGGTAAAGAGCAGCGAGCAGGTTGGCAGTAAGGAGTGGGGGGTTCCAGACTGTGAGAGGGATTTCTAACTGTTGGCTAAGCCCACAGGCGGACATCCCCTGAGGGGTCCCGGACTGAAAGACGGTGCAGGTGGAGCTGAGAGACCCCCCCCCCCCCCGCCAAGTGCATGAATTTCATGCACCAGGCCTCTAGTATTTATAATAATAATAAAGCATAATATGCTAATTAGACCAGACAGATGAACGATCTTCCAGATGAAGCTGGGGCTGTGAGGGCCCAGCCCCTTGCACAAATTTTGTGCATCAGGCCTCTAGTAAAGAATATAAAGTCTAGAAAAGAAAAGTAAGGCTGAAAATATGGGTGGAAAAATATGAAAACCTGGAAATCTCTGAATCCTAATTCAAGGATTACTCTTTATAATAAGGAATGTTAATAATTTTACTGGATAGTGACAGTAATGGCAGGGAGGTTGAAATAAGTCCACTGGACAAAACAGCAAGGAGAAAGGTCTAACAATATTCAAACCCTGTAGTGAAAGGTGGGGAGGGCCTGTACCTTGGTGGAAGTGGTAAGACCAAGAGAAAAAGAGGAAGAAGGGGTGAATGCTGGAGTCCTTATGAAGGAAGATGTGGTAATTCAGCCTAACAAATTACTGAGTATCCTACATGCTAGCTAGGCTCTGAGATATTAAGAAAAGATTTGTCCTCAGGAGACTGAAGTCTAGTTGGAGAAAGGAACCAAGACAAACAGATAACTTCAGTATAATAAGGAGCATGTTAGTGCAAGACACTGAATCTTTAGTAGTACTAGGTAACAGCTATGAGGGCAGGGAAATGTGTACTTGCTTTGAGGTTCAAATAAGCTAGTGTATATCATTTGTAAATCATTTACAAATAAGTCATTATTTGATTTCTATTCTGACCAAGTTAAAGTTTGAAGAAGACAATCTTGATGTGTATTACTTGGGATGATAATATTTTAATGTATTTTTCACAAGTAACTGGTACAGCACTACAGTGTTCTCAGTATGGATCAAGAATTGTGGTTATCAGTAATTAAGTCTAATAACATTCATTCATTCAACAAATATTTATTGAGAGACCTGTATGGGCCTTGTGGCATATAAAACATAGACTTGGCTTCATCCAAAAAGACTTGCGGTTGTATGGAAAAAACAAAACCAACACATATGTCATCCCCAGTATCTTGGGTTTGAAAGTATTGGTCTATTTATTCACTCACTGGACAGGTAAAACAATAATTACTTATATATCTATAGCTTTCTACTGCTGCAAAAGTACTTTTATTACATACATAAGTTTTTCACTCCTTCCAACAAATCTGCAAAGTGTTATCTGCTTCATATGTTATCAAATTGAAGTTCAGAAGTGTCAAAACCTTATACAAAGCACTAATGCAGACACGGAGGCCAGGCTCTGTGCTTCCCTACTTCCCCAATGGCTCTGAGTGTATTTGGTGATCCTGAGAGTTGGACTGAGCTGGCCTTGGCATGGACACAGTTAACTGGCACAAAAACCCTGAGAGGGTGTTGAGTGAACATCTGCTGGAAAAATCCATCAATGAATGAATGAGGCGGCTGTGGTGAGCTAGGCCATCGTGATCTTGATAGACCAGAGCAAATGTATCACACCGTTTTCCAGGGGCCTTTGCTCCTTGGGCCGAAGCGAAGCGGGCTTGGGTAGAATGTGACCCGCAAGGAAAAGCACAAAGGTCCTGGGAAACACGTGCAGGCTCCTTCCCTTCGCCAGGGCAGTTCGTCTAACAGTGAAGCTCTCGGTGGTCTTGGCGTCTCTCTCAGCCCCTACCCCGCTCCATCCGCGCCCCGGGTCGCACTCACCGGCTCCCCCAGCCCAGGACCGCGGGCCCGGCCAGCGAGCTGGGCTGGAAGGGAGGCTGCGAGGGGCGCGGGGCGAGCCCGGGGCGGGCCGGGGGCGGTGCGGGGCGCCGGGGGCGGGCCGTGGCGGCGGTTGCCGGGCTACAAGGGCGGTCCCTGGACGCGGTCCGCTTGCGCGGGGAGGGGACCCGGGGCCGGCCCGGACCTCGCCCCTGTGCGGCGGCCCCAGCGCGCTCCTGTGCCCCCCGGGCCGGGCCCGCGGGCTCCTGGGCGGCGGCGGAGGGCCCAGGTGGCGGTGGCGGGGAGGTAGGTGTCCCTCCCGCCGGCCCGGCTGGCAGCCCTCGCCCCGCGGACCCCTGCGAGATGGCGGCCCTCAGAGGGGCCAGCGGCCCGATGGGGGAGAGGGGCAGGGGCGGGGGCTCTGGTGCAGGGTAGGGGCCGCGGGAAGGAGTGACAGCCGGGGGCGCGGGGAAGGCGCTCCCAGACGCCGGAGCTTCGGTCGCAGTTGCTGGAGGGGCCGGAGGGGGTGCACGCACCCCGGTTTCTGTGGGCGTGCGGAATGACAGGACTGAATCTTTCTCTCCAGGGACCTTGTAAATGTGAGTCTGCTTCTAAGGCAGACGAGTGTAAGCACAGAAATCCATCTGCGTGCGCTTCACTCTGGCCTTGAATCCCCCGCGCTCGGCCCCTGCCCGAGACCCCTCCAGCCCGCGCCCCGAGCGCACTTCTCAGGAGGAAGCCGGTGCAGGCCAGACGACCCATTACCGCTGAGGAGGTAGAAAGAGAACGTTTACACCATTTGTAAGTGGTTCATAAACATGTTCATTGTGCGTGTGGGGGGGAAGTTTTGCAAATGTAAGCCTATTAGTACTGTGACGATGGGTAGAGCATAGAATAGTGAGAGAGGTCGGTCAGCATTCACAGCCTCTGATGCCATTTCATTGAATAGAAATTTAGCGACTACTCTTCAGTGGTCTGTTTTGATGGTAGAGAACTATGCATCAAACCTACATTTACCATTGTAAGAAATCCATGTCACCTTTTTTTTTGCATTTAGTAAAAGGACTCAATTTTCAAACAAAACTATAAGCATTGTTTGGTATTTCTTTAATTGAAACAATTTAACTCAAAATATTTATGAAGTTGTGGTTTTGACTCCAGTGACAATTTTTCTTTACTAGAAGTTGATTTTTTTATGTAAACAAGAAACAGTTTTCTTATGCAAACAGACAAATTTATTTTAATGTCTTTTTTTTTTTCATGATAAGACACTTTATGCAAAAGGGAGGATTATATTGCATTAGTTTGAGATTTACTCAATATGTTTTCTGTTGTGCAGCTTCCTTAGGCATTTTTGCCAATGCTACTTTCAATGTAATTTAAAAATTATTTTATTTCAAACACTGTTTATTATCTGGTTTAAAGATATAAAACTAGAGGAGGTGAGAATTGAATCCTACTGTAGAAAACAGTTTTTAACATTATTATGCACAGAGATGTGGGTACTTAAAAAGAAATTTTCTTTGCATAATATTTATCAAGTTGTTCTGGAATAATACAAAATAGAGATGCCATTTCATTTTTAAAATATTGCCTTAACATTAATGCATGGTGTGTTATCATGAGCTCTGTAAGTTCTTTACTTTTAGAGATATTTATGATATTTACTTTATTACTGAGGCCATGTTAGATTCCCCCCCCCCCCCCCCCCCCCCCCCCCCCCCATAGTTAGTGCTAATTTTGGGATGTTGTGTTAATATTTTCTGGGACATAATGGCAGTTATTTGTTTCTTTGATTGAGAGTGTCATTTTTTTTAAGTTCTTTGAAGTTCTCAATTTTTAAATTTTTAAAAAATGTATTGATTTTAGAAAGAGGAAGGGAGGGGGGAGAGAGAAAACAAACATACATTGATTTGTTGTTCCACTGATTTATGCACTTATTGGTTGATTCTTATGTGCCCTGACTGGGTATCAACCCTGCAACTTTGGCACATTGGGAGGACACTTTACTGAGCTACCAGGCCAATCGGAGTGTCTAGATCTTGAATGTGAAGTTAAGGACACAGGAAGGCTTTTTATTCACTTGAAAATGCAATGTAATGTGCTTTTCCTACCCAGAAAACTTGCTGGGAAAAGAATTGAGAGATGTAGTAGTCACATATTGTGCTTAAAGTATTATTTTAATTTACTAGTTTAATATATGAATCAAATGAAGTATTCTGATACATAAATGAGGAATTCTATTAACATTCACTGGATTCTCCTTTGTTGTTGTTGTTGTTTTATTAATTTTAGAGAGGAAGGGAGACGGGGAGAGAGAGAAAAATAGAAACATCAGTGATGAGAATCACCAATTGGCTGGCGCTTGCACGCTCCACACTGGGGATCAGATTGAGCTCGCAACCCAGGATTGTGCCTCAGTCTTGACCTAGACTGGAAATTAAACAGTTACCTCCTGATTCATAAGTCACTGCTCAACCACTGAGCCACACTGGCTGGGCTGATTCTCCTTTTTAACCTATTTCAACTTCTGAACTCACCCATAACCCAATCCCCTATGACTAATCAGTCATACCATTCAAAAATTAACACAACATGGGCCCTAACTGATTTGGCTCAGTGGATAGAGCGTCGGCCTGGCCTGCAGACCCAAGGGTCCCGGGTTCGATTCCGGTCAATGGCATGTACCTTGGTTGTGGGCACATCCCCAGTAGGAGGTGTACAGGAGGCAGCTGATTGATGTTTCTCTCTCATCGATGTTTCTGACTCTCTATCCTTCTCTCTTCCTCTCTGTAAAAAAATCAATAAAATATATTTTAAAAATCAACACAACATGGGAAGACTCAGGCATTTTAATACAGGAAAAAGGCAAATTCATTTCAATTTGATGAATCAATATGTAAAATCAAGCATTTAAAATTCTGGAGAAGGCCAACAATCTCTGTGTTGACTTCAGGTTGAGTAAGAATACTTACTTTGAGTATATGTACACCAGGAGCAGTTAAACAGTTAAATACGTTGGTCACATAGCAGCTAATTAGTAAAGATCATAGCCTTTTAAAAATAACTTTCTAGCTGAAGAAAAAGAATAATAAAGCAATATGCACACAACTTCTTTTCATGATTTACTGGTTGGGCAATGAGTCCATTCATCGTATTTTCGTATTTTATCTGTCTAAAATGTTTATATTTAAAGTAAGATGTTTAAACAGTATTGGGTTATCTTCTTGTCCACACATTACAGAGTATGTAGCCTTTAAACCAAAGTTTTAAAACCTGGGTTTTAAAAAGAGAACAACCACCTATCAGCAATTATAGAGACAAGGGAACTTGTATATCTGAAAATGAAATGTTATTTGGCCGCTCTTGAGTTGCCTTAGCTGGGTCTAATATGAGGAAATTTTAAAAAGAATGGGGGCTACTTATACTGGAGAAGAACACTACACATGTTGCAGAGAGTGGTTTTGGAATCTATCCAGACTCACTTCTAAAATAAAAATTTAAACAGCTGTGTTTCAGAAATGCTTGTGCACAATTCTCTTAGAATAGATTGGGCTGATGCTTGAGGTGCCTTTAGTCCTTAATACTTCAATTGTTCTATTTATATTTTGAGATAAACATTTATGAATTTGGGGAAAAGTACCTTAGTTACAATATGCTTTTTATTGAACATTTCAAGAACACTGTATTATGGTTATTTTACTAAGACAAAGATGATAGAGTCTGCAACTCAGAGAAATAAAAGGAATTAGTTTCAAAACTCTATCATAGTTTAAGTTTTGTTAAGAAAAAATTATCGGAGCCTGACACTGAGCAGTCCTTAATGTTTTTAAACTTTGGAGGAATTGAAGGTATTGTATTTGGCAAAAGAACATTTTAGAGCATGTAGAGATTTAGTAAAAAAATATTTCATGATTTGAAAATAAGGAAAATCATTCTCATTTCTCATCAAACAACAATATGTCTATTTTATTACAGCACACCTTTGTGAGTTTTCTAGGCTACAGAAAGGACAGCCAATAATGTAGGAAGAACAATTTTCAGAATACAGTGAAATTGCAGGCTAAGGTACAGAATAAGTAGAAGTTAGAAGGGTTATTATTCTCTTTTTTCATTCTCTTAGTATATGGTACTGACATTATTTCTTAGCCATTTATTATTATACTCCACATTAAAATATAAAATTCTGTATGTATATCACAGGCTTTATTTCAATGATGATTTTATAAATTGTAAGCCTGCTGATTTACTTTAATGTTGACTTAAAAAATATATTTTAGCTTATTGCATATTGGAAAAATGTCTGAGTTAGATATATTGTATTACATAATGTTAATATAGTTTTACTAGAAAAAACTGTTACCTATTGCATACACTACATGTTTGATAATAAATCCAATGGCTTTCAAAGAATGGAAAAATAAAGAAAATTAATTTATTCTGAAAAATTATCCAGGTTATTGGAATTATTCTGAGTCATATATTTGGGTCAATTATAAGATCAAAAATAAAAAATCTTTCTCAGAAAGGTTACTGATTTGTTTAAATTAGGAAGATAAATATCAGATTTCCCTCCTTAGTGCAATGAAAATCATTGTGATTATTATTGCACTATTTACAAGAAATGGGGTCCTGACCAAAGTTGTATTCTATCACAGTAACATATTTCAATCTCAAGTTATAGGTGCACATATTTTTCACATATATTGTTTTAGTCATTACAACGACCCTGAGGTACAATAGTAGCCCTAATTAAATACTTTTTTTTATTCATTTAACATGTATAGGGAACATTTTTGGGGTGAATTACAGTTCTAGAGCAAAATCACATTTCTTGTCATTAAGTCCTCAAACCCCAATAGTTGGCTGTAAATTCCAATGTCTTGGTTGGTGAAAAATGAAGGGAGTCCAATGCAACAATAGGAAATGGTGGAAACTGAGCCTTACAAAGTATATGTTTCTCTTTGTAAGGAATACCTGATGCTCAGCTCTAGCTCATGTTGCTTAGTCGAGGGACTCATGGTGGCCAACTTTTCTAATTTTTCAAAAACATTATTCGTTTTAATATTGAAAACTTATTCTAAAAATTAAGTGTTGCCCTCGCTGGATTTGGTTAGAGGGCAGCCTGCGGACTGAGGGTGGTGGTCGCGTTTGATTCCAGGCAAGGGCGCATGCCTCCAGTGCAGGCTAGATCCCTGCCCAGGCTGTGGCAGGCGCGGGAGGCGACCAATCGATTTGTCTCTCTCACATCAGTGTTTCTCTCTGTCTGCATCTACCCTTCCCTTCCACCGTCTCTAAAAAGTCAATGGGGAAAAAATATCCCTGGATGAGGATTAACAAACAACAACAATAATAAAAGTGTGGTGACTGCAGAAAATAATGCTGCTGCTGGCAACACAAGGGCTACAAGAGAAAGAAATAACCAGATAATTATGCTGTGAGATACGTAAGTCCAGGGTGCTATGGAAGAACAAAGGAGAAGTGCTCATTCGGGAAGGTTCCAGGAGAACTTTGATAAATTGAGAGGCAGACCTGGAGGATGAGGGTAGGTGTATAGGAAGGCACAGAGCCAAAGAGGGAGCAACAGTTGGGGGAAGTGCAAGCTGAAATAACCACAGTGGTATGAGATCCAGTGATCTGCCAGCCAATAGATGTGGCCTAGGACTGCTCCTCCTCAATGGGGTTCCCGTGAACTGCGGCTTCTGAGGCCCTGCTGCTTGCTTGGTGACATACCAGCACAGGTTTTCATGATTTGGACAAGGAAGTAGAAAAAGTGTGCATTTCAGCATCTGTTTGATTTATCTTCTTTACAGGCTGGCCAATTAGGACACAATCATGTTAGTTAACATTCATTCAAATGAGCAAGATGAGCTGTTTGATTTGATAAGCAGCTATTTTCTGTGCAGCTTATCAGAATGTTTGCCAGCTCCGGGCTTTAGGCTCTAATCTCTTCTTTTTTGCTTGCCTGGTTCTTCTGGTACTGCCACCCTGGCGGATATTGTTGAATAGCAGATAGCGAGGCAGAAAGCCCATACTCCTAGAATACAGTAAATCAAGAATTATTAGTATTCTTATTGCTTAGCTAGGGCAAGTTTCTCTGCACACATTTTGCCAAAATGGTTGCCAAGTATTTAGTAGATGTTGTCTAGTCTATGTATTTTGGCAAACTGTTGACAACTCCAGTGAACCCATTGTGCATAATATCAATAATTTGTATTTCATGTTTGATAAGTATTCCCAAATAAATAGAATATTGAAGTATATAAAAGCATTTTTCTTTTTCAGCCAAACCTTGAATTCCCAGAAATTAAAACCAATTTTAATAAATACCTTTTTATTGCCTTATTTTAATTTTAAATACTGGTACTTAAGCACTTGTTATTTCATAAAAGTTTTTTTTTTTTTTTTTTTTTTTTTTTTTTTTTTTTTTTTTTTTTTTTATGAATGCCAAAGCATTCCTTAAAGTAGTTCATTTTATTCTAAAAAATTCAAGGTCACACTCATAACACCCCACTAGATTTCACCACCTCTGCTAAGCTAGGAGTGCCCTCAAAAGTGCATCTTAGTTGCTCTAAGTTAGTTACAACTAAGGTATGTTTAGTTGCTTGGGCATCATCTCATGTATCAAAGGGTTGCTTGTTCCATTCTGATCAGGGAACATGTCCAGGCTGCAGGCTTGATCCCCAGTGGAGCATGTAGGAGGTAGCCAATCTATGTTGTGCTCTCATATCGATACTTTTCTTCCTTTCTGTCTCTCTAAAAATCAATAAACTATTCTATAAAAAAAAAAAAATCGCCGAAACCGGTTTGCCTCAGCGGTAGAGCGTCCGTCTGTGGACTGAAGGGTCCCGGGTTTGATTCTGGTCAAGGGCATGTACATTGGTTGCGGGCACATCCCCTGTGGGGGGTGTGCAGGAGGCAGCTGATCAATGTTTCTCTCTCATCGACGTTTCTAGCTCTCTATCTCTGTCCCTTCCTCTCTGTAAAAAATCAATAAAATATATATTTTTTAAAAAGTGCACATTTGTAGGTGTCCTCCCAATCTGATGCTGCCTCCTTTCAAGCACTTAATAGCTCTTTAATCGGGGTGTATTGAACAAATGGATAATTATGAAATATATTATTTTGTTAAATTGTTTTTATTGATTAGTTTTGTTGATATAGTTCTACTATGCCAAATGGAAGGAGCCATTGAATGCTGTGACACAGGATACAACAGAAAGTCAACCTGGCTCTGCCAACCCCAATCACCCCTGAGGCTTCTCCACCTCCCTCTGCTCCTGTGGTGAGATCGGCACAGCAGCTGCCACTCACACCCACTACTGGTGCTGGCCCCACTCACACCCACTGCTGGTGCTGGCCCCAATTTTTCCTCACCATCAGCGGGTGCAAACAGCACTGGTGCCATTAGCCTGTGGGAGTGGTAGAGGGAGCAAGGCAGATAGGGGACCAGGGACTGCAGCAGGAAGGGCTGGGCTGGGGCACAGGGGGCACAGAGGATGGGCCAAGATCCTCCCGTGTGCCCACCACAGCCTCGCGGCTCACAGTTCCTTTCCAGGTGCACAAGTTCGTGAACTAGGCCCCTAGTTGATAATATTTTTTTATATAAAATAAATGTATTTTATAAAGTCAAAATCATGCTTTCTAGCTTGTTGTCAATTGCCTTTATAAGAATATGCTACTGTAACTATCTACCTTCCTCAGTCATTAGTATAGGATGCCAGGAGAGCATTCTGTCTAAACTAGTTGCTCAATTATGGTATGCAATGACTCTGTCAATCTCTTTTTTCTTCATATTTTGTGTAAATGCTTTGATATATATATGTGTGTGTATATATATATATATATCCTATTTTTCATATTAGTTTGATCCAATATAATTTTTGTGTTTGTTTTTTACTTTTAAAAATTAACGTTAAAATTTTTTTGAGATCATGTCGAGAAAGATAACTTGCAGCATACCTTTCATGGAATGTGATTTTATCTTCTGACCCCAATCCTGTGTCTACACAAGCAATGAATTGCATGGTTGGATAATTGCTGGGTGATTCTGAGATATGCAAGGGGAGAAAGGAAGGCTGTGGCCAAGAAGCTGGAAAAGCAATAAAAGCTGCTTGATTTGCTAAAAATGAGTCATTCATTTGACAAACTTAAAAATGATATTTTTATTGCCCTGACAATTGGACCTGCTCAGGCTGCGGAAATGACCCTCTGGGTTGTGTTCAGGCGCACTGCGTGGCTACCAGTTGACCCATCAGCCTGCCCCACTCTGCTTCCTTTGCTATTGTTTGTTTTGTTATTGTTTTTCTTGAGCTATTTGGCCCACAGTTCTGGTTCCCTGCTATGGTTTCTTCTGAAGGAGCCAAATTATCTGCCCAGGGTCTCTGTCACTTTCGGAAGATTCAGCACGAAAGGGAAACTGAACCCTTATTTCTCTGCCTTATAGATGGAGCCACCAGATAAGTTTTCGTTTTTAAAAAGTCTTCTCCCATGCTATGCTCTGGATCTACATTTGTTTTTACATTTTAGATAATTTCTGGTGAAGATAAAGAGGCTTGGACTATCTTTTATCGAAATGTTATATTAGTGCCTCGAATTTCATCACTTGTAAATTAAGTTTAGATATCTTTAAATGAATTCATATTTTTTTCTGCTAGTATATAATTTGCACTGAACTGGTTTGGGAAACAATGCCAAATGTTAGCTGTGTCTGCTTCTTAGTGGAATTAAGGTCAAAGATCCAAACAGATTGTTTTGCAAGGTATAGTGACCCAGGGACACTGCAGCCAGCCCACCTGGGTTTGTACCCAGCTCTGCCTCTTACTAGCAGTGTGTCCATGGGCAACTGACTCAGCTTTTTCCGAGCCTGTTTCCCCTCTTTAAAATGGGAATAACAATAGTATCTATGTATCTGTCTTCTAGAGTAGTTGAAGATTAAATGAGTTAACATTGCTGAAAACAGTACCTGGCACATACGTTTAGCAGGTGTTAATTGTTTTTTAAATCACTGTTATTATCCTGTTGGTGCTGATTGAATCCATGGAATAGAAGGTTTACATTCTCACTGTTTAAATGTAATTCTCTATTGCGTGAAGTAGATTGGACACTATGGAGTCTTGGGTAGAAAATAAAGGCCTGAGAGTTCAAACCAGTAGGAGTTTTGCATATGGTGTGTATGTAGAGACAAAGTGTTAATCTAATAACTTACATTTTTAAATATTACATATTATGTGCCTATTGTACCTTTTTAAGAGATGATCCTTTTTAAAACATAAATACTGTTATCTAGTATATATAAGCAAATATCAATAATAAACATTATACAGTAAATATAGAGCACAGTCACTAATTGTTATGAATGTTATCTGTTATATTCTTATCTTTTAGAACTCTTCAACAATAAGTACATTTAATAAGAACCATGGCTTTAAAAGTGCTACTAGAACAAGAGAAAACATTTTTCACCATTGTAGCTTTACTAGCCTATTTGGTAAGTCAACTCTACTTTCATAAGAATGTGGTGAGCCCTGGGTGGTGTGGCTCAGTTGGCTGAGTGTCGTCCCATGTGCCAAAAGGCAGCTGGTTTGATTCCAGGTCAGGCACGTGCCCACGCTGCATGTTCAGTCTCTCATTGGGGCACGTGCAGGAGCTGACTGATGGTTTGCTCTCTCACTCTTCCTCCCCCTGTCTCTTTAAAATAATAATAATAATAATAATAATAATAATAATAAAAGAGTGGTGGAAAAATTTATATACATTGTACCAAAACTGTTTTCTATGTCTGATTCCATATTTTAAAATTCACTTTCAAATTGCATTTTAAAATTGTTACGTTTAACTAATAAGTCAAAGATTGCTCCTGAATCTGGACATTTGTAACAATTGTCAAAATTATATTTATTTGTTACTTGCAGCCCCATAATAGTTATTACTTTGGGGTTACAGGGATTCCCACAGCACCTAGCAGGACCATAGAATCTGACTTAGAGCCATGACTCACACAGTTTGTGAAGTATTTAGAATTGATTTTTGAAAGTTTTGTTATTTTAATATAATTATTTATATCCTAGGTTCCAAAAAGCATTAAGGACAGATGGAAGATTTTCATGTTTGAAAGCTTGACACAAAAAATCTATGAAGGTGTTCAAAAGAACTGAAACTTATTTAGTTTGAAGATATAATTATGATCTACAACTATGAAAAGAATTATTTACACTGAAGACAGTACTCAGTCTTCTTGGAAGGCAAAATAAGAGGAAATGGGGTCCATTTAGAGTCTGAGATTCAGGCAGCTATAAGGAAAGCTTCCTTTCTTTCAGTTGAGATAGTGAAACATTGGAACCAAGGAAGAGGCTGGGTAGTCTTTCTCAAAATCATTGCAGTTGCTTTGCAGTGGGAGGGAATCTCTTACCTCTCTCAAATAAAACCAAACTCCTCTAAGATGGGTAGTCAAGGACAGTTAAGAGAGGCAGGAAGAGATTATTAGACAGTTAGCCCCAAATCATGTTGTAGGCCTAAATTCCACCATGAACTCTCCCTTCTGTCTGCTCAAAGTTCTGTCTTTGCTTTTCTATAAGGAGGCTTGCAGATATCCTTACAGATTTTTCTGCTACAAAGTGGAGGTAATTTGTACTGAATAATTGCTCATTATTATAGCCATCAAAAACAATTCAATGTGCACCTGTGTGTGATAGGCTTTATCCATAACAGCAGCCACTGTTCTGCCAATACTTCCTAGAGGTAGTTAGCTTTCATTTTGGAAAACAAAATTATAGTCAGGAATGTCATTGAGGGCATTTCTGCTAATGATAAAAGGTTGAAGTGAATGTTCTCACCAATCTGATATTCTATTATTTTGGACAATTTTTTTACAAAATACTGTTAAGAAAGCAGAGTAACACAATTTTGTAGGGTTATAGTGTATAAAATGAATATACTGTTTTCAGATAAAATAAGAAACAAGGCTATATTTTGAAAATTACTTACAACCTTATGTTTTTGCCAAAATAGATAATCTTCCTATTTAAGTCCTATGCTGAGGTCCTATCATTAGGTCCTATTTAAATGGTAAAATGGTAATTAGTAAGCATATAAGTTCATATTTACATAGTACTTTTAATTTGAATCATTCAGAGTGTTTGGCTACCATTGTCATCTTCATCATCATCAAGAGTTTTACTAATTTCAAGATTGTCAGAAGTTTTTGAAAGACAATCTCTAAATAAATGCAGTTCACATGAAAAAGTTGAAATTCTTACATCAAAACTGGGTAGCAGATGTGTTTAAAGATAATAGGATAAAGGATAATAGGATATGTGTAAAGGATAAAGGATAATTCCTGTAGCTATACTAATTTCATTTATTTATTCAATTCATTATCCTTGAATATGCTTATATTTCTTGATAATCAAAAATATAGTTTTGGAAATCAGAATCTTTGAGATTGCAAAGGACCTTGGGTCTCTGCATGGCTGTCCTTTTACTAATAGACTAAACAAAGAGAGCATCTCTTAGTCATTTTTTACCTTGGGTCCTCAGAAATGTATCAGAGGAAGGCAGCAGTTGATTCCAAGAAAAAGGGAACCTTACTCAGAGAATACAGAAAAGAATCAGACATAATAATTTATTTGTTCCACTTACATATTCAAAAGTGAAAATTAAATTGGCCTCACTCTGACTTACTGTTTACATTCAGTGATTATGGAATTATACTGATGATATTGTGTCTTTATTGCAAAAAATGCAATTAATTTATTTTAATATAATGCTTTATGAAACTTTTTTTTTTCAGGTAAGTAAAGTGATTTGTGAAACGGGGGACTGTAGACAACAAGAATTCAAGGATCGGTTTGGAAATTGTGTTCTCTGCAAGCAGTGTGGACCAGGCATGGAGTTGTCTAAGGTATGGTATGCATGGCAAAGTTGTAGTACTGTGTTCTTTAAATGTAGTATTTTTAGCTAAATTCTTTTAGTTAATTACTAGTGAAGATGTGGACACCATGGCAGAATTCTTGGTTCATTGTGTCACTTTAGCTAAATAGAACACAATTTCCTCTTCAATACATTTGACTGTGCGTTTTACTGAAATAAAAGAAGTAGGTTCTAATAACCAGAATTCAATAAATGTCATTGTTTATTATTAGTGTTTATTATATTTTATTAAAAGGCTAGAATTATTAAAGCCTAGACTTTTAGTATTAATTAAAAAGAATTGATAGTTTACTAAAGATTTAAAAATAAAGCATTGATGCTCTGACTGGTTTGGCTCAGTAGAGATAGAGTGTTGGACTGAAGGGTCCCAGGTTCGATTCCGGTCAAGGGCATGTACCGTGGTTGCAGGCACATCCCCAGTGTTGGGTGTGCAGGAGGCAGCTGGTCAATGTTTCTCTCTCATTCATGTTTCTAACTCTCTATCCCTCTTTCTTTCGCTCTGTAAAAAAAAAAAAAAAAAAATCAATAAAATATATTTTAAAAATAAAGCATTGATAACAGAAAGTGGTAATGCTCACATACTTAGACTTTTCTTTCTCAAAATGAATATTATCATCTGAGAATCTCAGAGGAAAGGTGGGGGTGGCTGGGTGGGAAGAGATCAACCAAAGAACTTGTATGCATATAGAAGTTATTGGACACAGACAATAGGGTGGTGAAGGCCTGGGATGAGAGGTAGGCTAGAAGAGATCATTGTTGGAGATAGGAAAGGGACATATGTAATACTTTCAACAATAAAGATTTAAAACAAAACCAAAACAATGAAAATAAATAAATTGCAATTACGGAAAAATAAATGAATGTTACCATTGCTAGTCAAGAAGTAGAGCTCAATGGTCTCTTAAGTAATGATGCTCCAAGAGAGTAGTTCTTTTCCAAACCAGGGTTTTGAACATTTCTTGGACAATGAAAGTATTACCAGTCTCCCCAGACTGAGTGTATGTTACTCCCAGGGTCATTTTAAAATATATTCATTTTAGCCATTATTTGTTAAGAAACACTATGAGTGTATGCTAGCATATTTCCAAGTCATGGATATTCTTGGGGCTCTTCTTTTTTGAGAGCAGGTTCAGAAATATATATCTTTTTGCTTTATTTTCTGACCTTTTGAAGATATTACTAGTTGTGGAGAATTGGTGTATCATTTTTGTTGTTGTTCTAAATAAAGCATCAAAGTCTTCTTGTTAGAAAAGGAACAAAACTTTTTATTTTTATTTAAAGTTACTTTTAAAAGAGAAGTCACTTTTTGCCCCTACAGACTGCCATTATTTAAAGTTGAGTGTTGTCATTCATAGATTTTTGATCAATGATCTACAAACAGCATGACACTAAGATTTATACATTCCACAGTAATTCCTGGTGCAGGGCCTCTCTCTGGTTGTTGTGTCAAATAAGTGGTGGCTTTCCATATCCTGAGCTTTTCCTTTGGATTGAATCTGGCTGACCTTCACCCCGCCGTTGTGGCTCAATGGTTAAGTTTGACCTATGAACCAGTCGGTTACGGGTCAGGGCATATGCCCAGGTTTGTAGGCCCGATTCCCAATAGGAGGCCTGCAGGAGGCAGCTGATCAATGATTTTTGTCATTGATGTTTCTATCTCCCTCTCCCTGACCCTTCCTCGATTAAATCAATAAAAATATATTTTTTAAAAGAAAAAAACTGGCTGACCTTCAAACTCTGTATGACATCTACTTAACTATAGCATCTCAGTTGATATATTTTAATCTATGGATTTTAGTAACATGCATTTTCAAACATAGATTTTGTTCTGTTGGTTATATAAATATTCTTTATAGAAGATCTGCATATCTAGGATCAGTGAACAAAATAGTTAAAAATGCAATAGTGCCCAGGAAGAAAATAGACTATGATATTTCCATCCCTCAAAAGTTCTTCATTTCCCAAATCTCTGTGAAAATCTAAATGAAACTTTATAGTTGCCAAGTTGAATAAATGATTTCTAAGAAATACTCCCTAACTTTCATCCTTTGAACCCAGAGACTATAACCTCAATATTATTTCTGGAGATTCAAACCAGAGGTTGAAGGTATTATCAGCTCTAATATTTTTTATTATTTATTTATTTATTCATTTATTATTTTTTAATATATTTTATTGATTTTTTACAGAGAGGAAGGGAGAGGGATAGAGAGCTAGAAACTCGATGAGAGAGAAACATCGACCAGCTGCCTCTCGCACACCCCCTACTGGGGATGTGCCCCGCAATCAATGTACATGCCCTTGACTGGAATCGAACCTGGGGCCTTTCAGCAGACAACGCTCTATCCACTGAGCCAAACCAGTTTTGGCTAATATTTTTTATTTTAAAAAATCTATCCCCTACACTAGCTGGTTTGGCTCAGTGAATAGAGCATCTACCTGCAGACTGAAGGGTCCCGAGTTCAAATCTGGTCAAGGGCACATGCCTGGGTTGCAAGCTTGATCCCCAGTTGGGGGTGTGCAGAAGGCAGTGGATCAATGATTCTCTCTCATCATTGATGATTTTCTCCCTCTTTCTTCCTCTCTGAAATCAATTAAAAACTACATATAAAAAAAGTCAAGGGTAAAATTTAGTCTTTTTATTAAGACAACTTTTTATTAATTGTCAGATGACTACATTTATAAATAATGAATTGCTTTTTACCTAAAATGCTAAATAATCTTACCTAATAAAAGAGTAACATGCAAATTAACCCCAACCAAGATGGCTGCAGCCACAGAGAGCAGTTGAGAGGCTTGGGTTTCCCAGGCAATAGAGGAAGCCAAGTTTTCCACACACCCTGGCTGGCCTAGGCCTCCATTCAAGGATACAAAGTTTCAATTATAGAAGATAAATTTCAAGAAAAATATCAGCATCCACAGAGCTGGAGAGAACAGGCTAGGGTTGCCGCCGGCAATGGAGGAAGCCAAGCTTTCCACCTCTCCTGGCTGGCCTGGGCCTCCACTCAAGGCTACAGTTTCAATTATAGAAGGTAAACCAATCCAAAGAGAAATGACTGCCACCACAGAGCGAGCAGGAGGCTTGGTTCCGCTCCAGGCTACAAAGTTTCAATTGTAGAAAGTAAATATATCCCAGATACCAGGGCCTCTGCTTGGGTCCCTGGGGGGCCTGGCCAGCCTGCAAACCACCACAGGCCCCTCACTCAGGCCACCCCACACCCCAAGGGAATCCCCTCCCCGATCCAGGACACCCTTAAGGGAAAACCAGTTGGTTCCCACCCATGCACCAGGCCTCTATCCTATCTAATAAAAGAATAATCAGATTGACCATCACTCCAACACACTAGATGGCTGTCGCCATATGGTCAAAGATTCTGCCCCCTTGTGGACACATGATGGCCACCACAAGATGGGCAGCATGGAAGGGCAGTTGAGAGGGACCAGATCTGTAAGAGAAGGCAGTTGGAGGAGATCAACCCTGCAGGGGAGGGCAGGTAGGGGTGACCAGGCCGGCAGAGGAGGAAAGTTGGGGGCAAACAGGCTGATAGGGGAGCAGTTAGACATCAATCAGGCTGGCATGGGAGTGGTTAGGGAGTGATCAGTCTGGCAGGCAAAAGCAGTTAGGGCAATCAGGAAGACAGGCAGGCGAGCAGTTGGGAGCCAGCAGTCCTGATTGTGAGAGGGATGTCCGACTGCCCATTTAGACCCGATCCCACCTAAACGGGATCGGGTCTAAATGGGCAGTCGAACATCCCTCCAGGGGTCCCAGATTAGAGAGGGTACAGGCTGGGCTGAGGGACACCTCCCCACCCTGTGCTCGAATTTCATTCACTGGGCCTCTAGTATTACAGCAATACATATTATTATTCTACTTTCTATTTAAGACAGATTGAAATGTGGCTCTGTCACCAAGGACTGGATTGTTTATTTTATTTCATTTCAATTAATTAAATTTATGTTTTGCCACTTGAGGTCATGGCTGTTGTATTGGACAGTACTGTTCTAGAATCATGAACTTTCCTTCAGATGTTCTGGCTGAGAACCCACTTCTGAAACAGAGAGCTATCCAAAACGCATTTACCTGCTGTGAGTGTGTGGTGCTGGAATTGCTTCCTGGTCAGCCTCCGTCCTCTTCTTTCTGCTTCGAGCCTCCATCCTGGCCACTAGTTTCAAAGCACCCACCTGTTTCTGCTCCTCCGTAGCTCCTGTTTGGTCTTGTGAAGTGAGTGCCATCCCTGTGGCTCCTCATACTAGGTGGTGCCTACCCTTTGGGTGCCTTCTTGTGCCATCCTGAGCAGTTTCATCCCATTAACTCTTTTGGTTTCCAGTTCCCTCCCTGAAAGCCCCAAGCATCACTTCTTATTTAGGTTCTTTTTAGTAATTCAGCTTACTAATTAGTTTTCTTATATCTCTGGGAAAACCGTGCCCCATCACTGAGCCATTTGGAGTCCGTTTTGAGATTTTATCCATTGAGCCATATTTAGTTGTTCTCTCTTCCTCTACAAGGTTTAATTTTTGAAAGTTTATGAGGATAGTAATTGATAGTGTCTTTTTCCACTTCTGAGGCAAAAAAATACAAAATGTTGTTTACATTGCTCCATAAGAAGTACATGCTGGGTGTCTTGAGCAGTGCATACGGGTAGGAGTATTACACAGACATCCTTTTGGCTCATGAGAATAAGCACCATTGGTGTATGTGAGAGAGGACGAGTTTTGTTTCCTTGAGTGACTACATAGTTTTTACTTCTTACTCTAAAATTTGCTCAGCCACGGCCGCTCCTCTTTACTGAGCATTTGTGCCAACAATGTGCTTTTAACATGATTGCCTCCCAGCAGTAAATCAGGAAACGCATTTTTGGATAAACTACTTGAAACAGACTTCAAGTGTCTGGCATGATTTTCAAAGTAAGCTTTTCTAACCAATTATTGGGGTGACTTTGTTAATATGAAAAATTAATTATTGTAAACAGC